CTTTTATGACTCCTCCTATTTTGAGAAATCAAGCGTAACGTGACACACACTGGCTTTTATATAGGTTAGATTATTGAAGCTATATTTTATGTATTATACAGGTTTTACTTTATGTGCTGTAAAAGTTGGATCTTAAGTAATGTAGATGTTTTACGTAATGCATTATGGAAGGTTTACATCGGGCTGTCTCTTGTGTCCACCGAGGGGAATCGAACCCCTGATTTTAGCATAAGAATTCTGTAGACTTACCGTTATGTTACAGGGAGACATATTGTATTGTACATATTTTATTTTATGTATTGTAGGGTTTTACTTTAAGAACCTAAGATACTTTATTGAGATTATTTTGAACTCTTAAGTATTCTATTTTTTACAATAACGTGTGAGATATATTTCTTTTAAGGCTTCAGGGTACTTTAGTCTAACAAGTTACGAAGATTTTTCCTTGAAGACATTTTGCTATAGTTCAGAAGGTTCTTCCCTCGAATGTATGGAAAATTTGGTTGAAGTTCGCTTAACAAGAAAATACTGTGGCATACAATCTAACACTTGTAATTTCTATAGATATTATATACGTTTTGGCAATTTTTATGAAGATTACGCTGAAAACATTGTTAGCTTTTTACTCTAATTATTTTAATATTTTATTACTAAAACTGCCACGTGATCAGAAGAATGTTTATCTTTTATTATGATGTTACATAAGTACGTTTATTTTGGATTCAGATCACCACAGTAACGGTAATATTCAATAAAGATAGAGTTAGAGTAAACTTGAAATACTGATTTCATTCATATTAAACGTAAGGAGTCTCTGTGTGTATTGATCTGTCACAGAAAATAAGAACTATTTAAGACTTATAAGGAAGAGAAAAAGCTACATCCATTGTCCATGTCAAACGAGGGTGCTTTACCTGCATAACAGCTACGAATCTAAGATTGGGAAGGTCATACACGAAAATACTTTTTAAGTTAGTGTTTCAATATCAAAATTGAAAATTGAAGTAGTAATAAAAGAGCAATTAACGCTGATTGAGTGTCTTATCGATATCTTGAAACTCTCCTCACTATAAATCATACAACTTAAAGAATATTGAAATCTGATCACTTGAATTTTTCAGATCTATTTTCGTTAATTCCTTAACTTATATTAATACGGTTACGTCATTTCCTTATCTCATACCTACTTATACAGCTACGTTAATTCCTTACTTTGCATATTAATACGGCTAAACTAATTCCTTATCTTATGCATTTATACGGCTACGTTAATTACTTGTCTTGCGAATTAATACAGCTATGTTTCTTCCACATCTCATGTATTCATACGACTACGTTAACTCCTTATCTTACGTATTAACACGGCTATTGTTAAATTCAACAGTATTTTGACGATAGCTGTACATTTATGCAAGATAGCATCAAAATACTGGATAGGCTTTTTACAATTTCCCAAACTGTTAACAGCTTAATCGTTGGAATTTGCAGAAGTTTAAACTTCTTACTAACCAACAAATTAATCTACTTAATTCTCAAATTACCAACTTGTCTTTATACCGCTCTGTATCAGTGGCATCCACACATTGTATCATGTTAAGTAATTTTATGTTTTTGTCTGTTTGATCACAGCATAAAGAAACGAAAACGGATGAGGTCACTTGTTTTCATGTAAAATACACAGGGGACCCAGCAGTAATTAGTGAGGTTAATTATAATGATGATTAAAATACACAGGGGACCCAGGAGTAATTAGTGAGGTTAATTACAATAATGACAATATTTTTAGTTTTTGTGTGTGATTGATATGTTATTAGAACTGTAAAATCAACAAAGTGATGGACCCGCAAGCAATCATGCATAAATAGTTAGAAAACAGAAAATAGCTTCAAAACACCGATGGTATTAGGACTCCATAGATAAATATAGGGTTAAATAAACTGTATTTGTTTTTCTTATTATTATTTAAGGACTCTTAATGTCGTGTATTAGATAATTTTCCTCCACCAGTGAAAGGAAAACGTGCCTTTATCTTTAACTGAATACACGCCTCACGAACAGAAATAAATTAATTATCAAGCGCATTCACGAAGACTTTACTGTTTAGTACATGAATCATTCATTTTGAGTACTTCTGCCCAAGCAGTAAAACTCGATACAGAAATCAATTAGTAGGTATCTAACAAGGCAGTCTGGGCACAACACCTGAAACTTGTTTACACTGTAATTCACTGTGAGTTATACATGAAACGTGTACAGTGTTAAAACAGTTTCACGTTAAGAACAGCATAACCTTCGCTGTACTTAATAATTGCTTTTCAATAACTCTTTTGTCACCTAACAATTTAAAGCTTTTTCTGGTCCCGTAACAAGGACTGGAAAATCCATATATTTAGCTTACGTGCTATGAATATACGATTTAAAGTTTAATGTTGGGTTTCCAAGAAAAGAAACAAAAACAAAACTTTGACAGCTAATGAGTGTCACGTGATTGATCATATCTTTCTTTATACACATTTTTTTTTCTCTTTCTTGTTTTTATTTGTTTTGGAGCATTAAATTGTGGTCTTGGACACGTAAATTTGACAAGATCATTAATGATCAATACAAGTTATTGTTGAATTTTTATTGTTGATTTTATTTCTTGAGAAAATGTATTATGTTAAGCTATACGACATAGCTGTCTTTGATAACCTATTAACAACAAAGAGCATTATTGTCACTTCTAGATGGAGAAAAAACTTGTTGTAACTTACTTTAATGAGGACCGGGTCAACATTTTGCAACATTTAGTTCTCATGGTGCACTAATGCTGCTAAACATGATCTGCATTCTCAGTTATGGTAGTGTTAGAACTGTAACAGTCAATCCCATTATCCTCTTAAAAGTAGCCACGTAAGCGGCGATTGCTGCTGACCGTTGCTCCCTCTTTTGATCAATAGTTCTATTAAAGATGGCTATACCTATACCTTTGCCGTTCAGGTTCAAATACCATAATATT